ACGGTAGTACTCACAACATTCGCAAGTTACATGTATCAGAATATGACTGATTAATTAGTCCCTGTTCAGACGCCATCTGAAAACAGAGACTTATGGATTGACCTTTGTGTGTGTGTGCGTGTGTGTGTGTGTGTCCAGATCTGTATCTTAGACATGCCTGGACCAATTACAATCAAACTTTACACATACATCATACATAATATTATACATATGCACATCAATTTGTTTCACGATCTGATTCAAGATGGCTGAATCTCAGCCATTTTTGTGCTGAAATCAAGTTTTTTATTGGGGACAACAGTTTCAGTGATTCAGTGGAATTGTTGACGTTCTGAGATCACACCTAAAGCTACATAAATGCTCGGCAATTTTCGTTTATTTGCGAACATTTTGTGACCCATAATATCTGAACGTTAATACTGTTAATTTAAAACTGAAACAGTGTATAATGTACAAAATGTAAAATAAAATAATAAATGTTTTGTTGCAGTGGTTGAATCAAAGTCATAATGCCTGCGTTAATTATTCAAATAGAAATGCAACAAAGGTAAGCCATTGATTTTTGGTAAATTCTGAGAACAATATTGCAAGCCGATACTGTCATTTTTTATGCATAAATTAGAGATTTTTCACTAGATGGCGCTCACTTCCTGTTTCTAGATGCATGCTTGACAAATTCTTCACCCGAAAGTGTCAAACTATACGGCGTATGTAATGAAATGCACCTGTATAGACCAATATTTGACAACAATTCAACTTTCAATTTTACAGTTTCCTATTTTGTTTTATTTTTAAATAGCCAACCCCGATGAGTAAATTTCTTGGAGGATATCTGGGTGCTATTACCAGTGCATGTTCCATAGCAGTAAGTACGTCCAATCATTGATCACCTGTTTATCCACTGAAGATTTCAATTATTCACATGCTAAGGCTTATTTTAGTATCCTAGACTGAAGTAATTGCATGCTAAGCCTTGCATTAACATTCAGAAGTATTCGAACACTAAAATTTGCTATTAGCATTCAGGATGTAAACATTCAAACACTAAAATTTGCTTTTAAATTTCCGGATGTAAGCATTCACATACTAAGCTCAGATAAGCAGTTGTAACACAGGACAGCTACTGAATGCTTATTTGTAGCCATTGCATTCTCTTGAATGCTTAGAAATAGTTAATTCAACATTTTTGATTATTCCTTACAGTGGATTAAGTTGAACTTTTGGGGAAATAGATTTTTTTTTCATAAATTTTGTGAAATAAGGAAATGTGTATGTTCTAGTTGGTGCAAATAATTCATTCAAATCCCTTTCTTATGTAAAACAGCTTCAACCAATATGCAAATTAAATCTATTTAGTTTCTCATTCAGTCAGGTTATGTAAATGTATGGTGAAATGTTTACACATAACTGGGTTTTGTAAAATAACTAAAATTACGCATCAAATACATTGTACGCATCAAGAGATCATCGATAAATAAAGACTACAATGTCAGTTTTTATAATCAGAGATTTTTTGAGATATGTATTTTTTCTTGTTTTATTTTCCTGATGCTTAATAGTTCATATATCAGGTTATTATAATGTATTGTACCGGTTGTAGCTTGTACCGGTAGTCATAACCAAAATGCCAGCATGAACATTTCACTAGATTCGTGTCTGTACAAATAAGACGTTCTGTAACACTGTTGTCATACATAGATATTGTTTTCATTGCCAGATGTATAATAACTATCATTATTCAGGTGGGATTGACTGTCTTGGTCGGCAAAGCACAGAAGTTTAGTCCAGCAACAAAGATGATAATACAGAAGTTTGTGCCTTTCCCTGCAGTTGGTGAGTCAGATGAAGAGAATAATAATTCTGTGGATGGTCCACATCTAATTTTGAATGGTCCACCCTTAATTTTGTATGAACTACCTCTTATAATAAAATAATAATTTTTCTTGGCCAAATTTTGGTGCAACATATGCACATTTTAATGTATATTTTTTTTATAATTATTTTGTTAATTTTGGTCAACATTCTAAATTGGGTAATGGTCTTGATCAAAAGTTTTGAAAAATATGAGAAAACTTTTAACTTCATTTTTAATTTGTGAATGATGACAACATATTGACCTCTGTGACCTTTAGGGGTTATGCACAAGGTCCTTTCCATCTAAAGTATTTTCTACATATCTATTCTAGCGACTGCTAGTGTGTGCAATGTTGTATTAATGAGAATTAGTGAACTAGGAGAAGGAATTGAAGTCAGCGATGAAGACGGCAATGTGGTTGGATGCTCCAAAATTGCTGCAAAACGTGTGAGTACAAATTAATGTTAAATGTTGATCACTTCATGGCCTTTACCTTCTGATCCCTCATCTGTTCTTTTACCCAATGACTGATACTCAGTGCTTGAACTTTACTCCTTGACCTAATTTCATACTTATCCTCATTCCATACTTGACCTTTACTCTCTGACCTCATTCCGTATTTGACCTTTGCCTTCTGACCCCTCATTTGTCTTTTTACCTGATGACTGCTATTCAGTGCTTGAACTTTACTCAGTGACCTCCTCCATACTTGACCGTTGTCCTCTGACCTCTCATTTGTATTTTTACCTGATGACTGCTATTCAGTGCTTGAACTTTACTCTCTGACCTCATTCCATACTTGACCTTTGCCTTCTGACCCCTCATTTGTCATTTTACTCGATGACAGCAAATCAGTGCTTGAGCTTTACCTTCTTACCTGTAAATTACTTTCAATTTTGAATTGTTTTCGTCCTAGGCCTTACAAGAAACAGCCATGACCCGTGCAGTATTACCAGCTCCTATACTCATACTACCACCCATTATTATGACACTGTTTGAAAGGTGAGGTATTCCTCTAAAAAGGTCAAACATCCAAGATTCACTATAATTTATTCCCTCTCCCCAACCCACCAAAATGCAAACAGATGTCATTCAAGTGAGAATGCTGTTTATGTTTAACATTATGGCACAAATTTAGATACAATTTTAGAAATAATTTTAGGACTACATTACCCAAATTAAATTCCAGAATGTGTAGGGTATGCAAGGTGGATATGCATAGGTACCAGGATGTGTGACCTTTGGAGGGGTCATGCATAGGTACCAGGATGTGTGACCTTTAGGGGTCATCCATAGGTACCAGGATGTGTGACCTTAAGGGGGTCATGCATATGTACCACAATGTGTGACCTTTAGGAGGTCATGCATAGGTTCCAGGATGTGTGACCTTTATGTGGCTCATATGCATAGGTACCAGGATGTGTGACCTTCAGGGGTCATGCATAAGTACCAGGATGTGTGACCCTTAGGGGGTCATGCACAAGTACCAGGATGTGTGACCCTTAGGGGTAAATGCATAAGGCCCATTTTTGCTGGGTATTTGTTTTCAATTATTTGTTTTTCTCAATAATTTGTCTCATTTTTATCCTCCTGTCAAAATGTTACAAGCATCCATTGATATGTCCGTACGTAACCAGGGAACTATTGCGGATGAAGACAAATGACACAGTGTTATATTGAAGACATTGCACACTAGATCTGATCAACATATTTAATAAACATATACGGTCAAGTAACCTCATTAAAAATAGCTATCATATCTGGAACACTATTGCAGATATAAACTTTCAACCAGTGATTACAGAGGATCTGCTATCTCTGATTGCTTTCGTGTTTAGATTTTTTGTGTTTCTTCCAATTCGTTCATATCCTTTTTTCTTTTCCACATTACATTACTTTCATCTTGTGAGTTTATGATGCAAGAATGGTTTGCGATTTTTCAAAATTGTCTTGTGTATAAAAACAAACCATTTTACAGTTTCTCCTAATTGTTCTTTGCCGTATAGCAATCACTTTCTAAAAGCTAGAATAAGTTTATCTAACAACCAAATTCAAAATTTGTTCTTGTTAGGACTAACTTTGTGAAGACAAGACCTAAGGTACATCTTCCCCTACAAGCTACGGTTTGCACGCTGTCATTTGCGTTTGCTCTGCCACTTGCACTGAGTTTATTTCCACAATTTTCTAAGGTGAGTGATGTTATTTCCTGTCCCCTATATATGATTTGGTCATTATTGAATTTAATGTTTTGTGTAATGATTGGTCAGTAGATGTTTACGTGGAAACATTGAATTCCAGATTATGTGTTGTGATTGGTCAGTTTATAGTCACATGGAAACACTGAATTCCAGATTATGTGTTGTGATTGGTCAGTATATGGACACATGGAAACACTGAATTACACTGAATATTTAATTATACTGCCCTCTGTGTTGTAATTTGCCAATCATTTGAGGTACGAGGGCGCTGTCACTTATATCACTGTGTACATACACCAAATAATAGAATTCCTTTGTAGAGATTAAATCAAACACAAATTATAAATTGTTATATTGTTATAAATTATAGATTAAACGAAAGACAAATTTACATGCTAATGTTACTGTAGACAAAATGCTTTAATTTTGCTTATTGAAATGTTATTAAATTGTTCTTTACTTCAGTACGTAGTCACCGTTTTTTTATTTTCAAAATTCTTCCCATTTTTCACTTATTGTTTCTCAGATTAGTTTTCATTGTCAACTACTTGTGAAATAAATTCTACAAAATTACAAAATAATAGCAAACAAGAAAAAAATATAAAAATAGATTACCCGTATACAAAATGAAAAATAGTGAAATAAATATCTTCAAATTTGACTTTTTTTTATTTTTTATTTATTTGTTTTTTTATTTTTTATTCCATTATTTATTTACTTGTTTATTTACTATTTATTTATTCATTCATTTAACTCACAAATTGAATCAAAATATCTTGTTTTGCCACCTCATTTCAGTTTGAATCGTCAAGGCATTTTTTATTGGTTTCTTAACCCTGTAATTTGCCACCAAGTTATTGTTGGCTGGTGTTTCCTCTACTTAATTTTTTTTTTTTTTTTTTTTTTTTTTTTAAATTAAAAAAAAAAATCTTTGAATAGTTGACATTACATCATCAGCTCAGACCAATGTTTAATAATCACAAAAATAATCATACAAATTAGTTTTTTTTGAGATGCGTTCCGGTTGATAGGAGTCCACGGCAACAACTGTAACACACTAACCTTGTTATTTGTGCACTACTTTGAAATACGTGCCTTTAGGCAAAATTTATTTATTAAATAAATGAAAATCTGTTAAAATCTAATTATTTTCCATTTAAAAAACATAAACAAATGGTACTTGTAGCAAAGAGGATTGTCGGGAAAGGCTGCTGTCTCCATTTTTTTAATATTCGATTTTTCTCCCTTTACTTTAGTATCATTGATTTGATCGTTGATTTTTTTATTAAATTCTGCTCTCTTCCTCCCTGGTTATTATGATTGTTACCTGTCACCATAAAACTGAATGCTACTATTATAGCTTTTAAAAAAGGCTTAAATGAAAGCTGACACAGGTGGTCACATCCCCTGTTAAACAATGGGTTAGCCAGGGTTGATTAATTTTCTATATTTGATATCTCAATTTTATTTTTAAAATTATTTTTTTTTGCAAAAATATTAAACAAAACAAAAATATAATTATGTAGTATTTTCATTTTGCAATGTTTCAGTTTACTTGATATGCAAATAGACTGATTAATATGCATCATTTCTTTTCTGAAGTTGATTTACGACTGTTTTCCCATGTTACACCTGATTTGAAAGCTATCAAATCATTATGTTTTCTTGTGGTGGACGGGGGTCTGTGTGTCTGTCTTCTTGTATGGTTTCCATGGCAATCCATGCTTTAGATTACAATCAGTTTTGGATTGCAGAAGCCAGTTGTAAGAGTTGATAGGGATATCAAATACCATCTGAAAATCAGCAATTTTTTTTTAAAACTGAACATTACTGTGAATAATGTGGATGAACTATTATTAAGGGAGCTAGGACCCCCCCCCCCGACAATTCATCTTGTTGTCAACTTATTATAAATTCACGTAATCAATTGTTTGCCGACGACCGGTAATAGTCAAAATCACTGCAAAAAATAACAAATAATAATTGTGTGTGTGGGGGGGGGGGCATTTGTCCTGCGGGGACAGTTGTGGGGGGGGGGGGGAATTGTCCCCAGGGGGGATTCTCCTAATACCATAATTAAAGACTTGTACAATTTATGAATTCTTGAATTTTCAAAGATTTCCCATCAAATTTCTTTTCCTTCAAGAAATTTTCAAGATAAGGTGGAAATGTGTGTCACATGATGTACTGTCACATTTCATCCGTGTTTGATCGTATGCCATCCCTGACTATTGGAATTCACATGTTTTCCATAATCGTCTTGATACTGTAAATCACATTACTACTATGTGGGATAAAATTAAATGGCTGGATGAATCAAAGGTGACTGCTATGTGGGATAAAATTAAATGGCTGGATGAATCAAAGGTGACTGCTATGTGGGGCAAACAAACACCTCTTCTGTAATTATCTGTACCCAGCTCCTTATTCTCTTCTTTTACTCTACCGCATAAATATTTCTGCTTTTTCTGCAATATTAACTCCTAAAAAAACAAACAAGTATAAACAAGTTTCGGTGACAATTATTGGACGTTTTTGCTGACAAATAATACCAATAAACCCTATATGTAGGTTTTTTAATAGCTAGTGCTAGAAGTGTGAATTAGTTAAATTTCGTACCCATCACGGAATTGGTACCATGAAATATGTGAAGGCTTATGGTTCCATATACAGATACGATGAGCAAAATAAGACAGGGATATTTGTTTTTTTTCATTCAACCAATTTAGATCTTTTATTTGATGGTCAATATGGATTCTGTAAATTCTTTGTCATCAAGCGTTAATTTTCAGTCCAGTTAGGTTTCTGCACACAGTTGTATGTTTGGCACGACACTAATGATATACATGACTATTGTCTTAAAGTGGAAACTTCCAAGCCCAGGGATTGCATAAAAGAATCATGGGACACTATTGTTTATGTTGTTTACAATGCTAATCTATCTTTTGTTATCCATTATTTTTAATCCAGAAAGTAAATTTGTTGTGAGATTAAGCTTAACTGGAGGTGCTCCTTTAATTGGCAATCTTTCTCGTCTGTATTCGACGAAAGATGACAACTTGAAATGTGATTGGTGCAGAAAAATTCCAGTTCTCCATACAGCTTTTTAATAATTGTTTGTTTTTACTTTTATTTGTAAAATGGCGATATATCTCACCCTGAGAAGTACAAATAGCAAAAATAACAATTTATTTACGAATGAAGAAAGAAATTTATTTGCATCGTATACTGGCAGTGAGTTCAGTGGTATTAAGTTGTCGCTAACACTTAAAATATAAAATCAGAAACATTTATAGCAACCATATATTAAAAAAATATTTTCTGATAGTATGTAATAGAAGGAAAAATTGGAAAATAAATTTTTAGATCTAGAACTATTGGATATTTTGTTAAAAGAATTTCTTTGTGCATTGTGGTACTCCCATGAAGCATCTGACCATGGACAATAGACAGATTAACACCATGTTTAGGAAGACAATAGAATGTACACATTAGAAGAGAATTTGATGTCATCAGTCCTTTATGCTCAGCTCAGAAATGTGTTATAATTCCATTGTCTTTCACGACAGGGTGCTGTACCATCTGGGAGTTCCACTGTCCACGTAGGGTTTCATACAAAATAGTGATAGTTTGATATATTTGAAGATAACATCAGTGCTGTACACCCAAAATAAGTTGTTCCAGGCATGGAGGTAAAAATGGAAGGAGTCACAGCCAAAATAATCCTCCTAAACTTCTTTTGTTTTAGACATGTTTAATCCTATAATTCCCTTTGTCTAATCGTCCTTTCACCCCAGGATCGTCGCCGACGCGTCTTTTACTCTCATGTGTTGCTGCGCACAGTACATATTCCAAAGTCTTGTTTTACGGTGTCGCAGTAAATGTCAAAGGACATAAAGCATGCGCAGATCTTTTATACGTAGAGGAATCGTGTTTGTGAGAACGGGAAAGTTGGAATTTTGAAAATCAGAGAATTTCTTGTTAAGTTTATGTAATTTTTCGTTTTTCAGCACATTTTCCGTTGTATTTTTGAATCAGCAATATTGTAATGTTTCGAAACCTTGCTAGTACTGTTTTTAGTCCACAATAAAGCTTGTTTAATGATCTTTGCAATGGTGCATGGCATGGACCGCACCGCTTTGTACCAGAGACTGAATTTTGAGGTTTGAAATGACGCTTTTTGAAGTTTATATCCCTTGTATGTCCTACTTCCTACGGCAGTGCGTCAACAAGAAATTCACTGCATTTTTTGTTTTCGAGCAATCATTTTGTTCACAGCATATGGAAAACAATTTTCATCTGTAATATGCTCCTCGATTTCGTTTACGTCTTCTGAATTGAAGGACATCGTAGTCAAACTCGTATGCGTTATCGATCGTCGCCATATTTGTTTATAAGAATTTGACAGAATTGTCACGAAAATCACAGTGCTGCCGAAGGCGTCCGTCGTATGCTAATTCACGGTAATCCTTACTGCGCTAGGAGGAAACTGTCCTCTTTGATCCGTTCGGCAAATAAACTTCTTGATCTATGT